CCCTTTGGAACGAACAAAATCTACATTTCTTGTTCTTGTTCACCACAAATACATTCACTGACAAATAATTCTTCTCCTCAAAGATCAATTGAATCAATGAATGAATCATGAATTGCCCACTTTGTTCCACTTCGCTCTGTTGAAAAATGTCTGTGCTGATTGCCTGCCAATGCATTTTGTTGTCCCAGCAGATGAACTGCTGTGAGCATAATCTGATGTTTGCATCAGTTCCATAACCAATTTCATAACTGTCTCTTGTGGTGCAGAGGAATACTCATTCCACCCACTTTACATAAACTACAGCTGTTTATCTGTCAGAATAGGCAGAATAAGGCATCCTGTAAAAGAGCAGTTAGACCTCCGTACAAGTGTTTGCACTGCGCTGAGTTCTACACCATTTCTGTGTGAGTGTGACTTGCGTTTAATTCTGGCTTACGCGGGGTCACCAAGTCCAACAGAGAAATAGTTGTCACTGTAGTTTTGTGAGGAGAAAAATACTTCCATCTGGGCTATTTCTATCAGATCAGGGAGGAGAAAACATCCTGCAGAATTGCTGTAAGGATATCTGAACTCTGTTGCCTGACACACATGGTTTATTACCTAATCGTGCTGTCAGCGTACAGTCTCCATACAATCTCTACGTACAGTCTCCATACAATCTCTAAAATGTGGAAAAGGCTGAGCTGTCTGATGCACTGAGACAAGCTGTGACTTGCTTGGGGCAGTGCCTGAGGTTGTGTGCTAAGGGAACTTGGTATCAGGTCCATCCTGGGTTAAGTAACTTCTTAGTATCTCAAATTCAGAAACAGCTTTTTTCTGGTAAGAGTTAAAACAGTCTGCTCTGTTCTGACTTTTCATACGAAGGCAAGGAAGAATGGTGTGAAGTTCTGAACTTCGCAATGAGCCAGAGATCCATGCAGAGTTGCAGCACATGCTTTTTTTCCTAAAGAATGCAGCTACTACATGGAGAACATTGAAAGTACCTTAGTAGCATAGACAGTTTAAAAAGAACTCAGTACTGGAAGTGGTTTCAGACTGCTAGATATCAAGAAAACTACAGGAGAATGATCATATACAAATACCTTTTTTATTGTGGTAGGTTGACCTTTACTGGCTGGCAGTTTCAAAGCCACTCTCTCACTCCCTTCCTGAGCAGGACAGGGGAGAGAAAATAAAATTAAGAACTGATGGGTCAAGATAAAGGCAGCTTAATAAAGAAAAGTAAAGGCTATGTACAGAAGCAAAGGAGAATAAAAATATTTATTTTCTACCTCCACCAGTGAGTGATGTCCAGCCGCTTCCTGGGAAGTAGGGCCTTAGTATGTAGTGGTTGCTTTGGAAGATAAATGACTGAATAATGAATGCCCTCTCTCCTCTTAGCTTTTATTGCTGAACGTGACATCATACAGTAGGGAAACTTGGGTCAGTTTGGGTCAGCTGTCCTGGCTATATCCCCTCCCAACCTCTTGCCCACTCCCAGCCTATTGGCCTTTGGGGGGGACGCTGGAGAGAGAGCCTCTGCATGGTGTAAGCACTGCTCAGCAGTGGCCGAAACACTGGTGTGTTGTCAACACCTTTCTGGCTGCAAATATAAAGCACAGCACTCTGAGGGCTGCTATGGGGAAAGTTAACCTCTTCCGAGCCAGATTCAGTACATCTACATATAAGAAAATTTCTAGACTTGAATCCTATTATGTTGAAGAAGA